CATATTTCTTCATTGCAAGACTAAACCGCCCAAACCATGCCCGCGGTGATTGTTTCAGTCCATATAGTGCTCGTTGTAGTTTACACACAACTTTGGTCTTGGAATTTGCTGTATAACCAAGTGGGATGTCCATGTACACTTCCTCTTCAAGGTCACCATGGAGGAAAGCGTTCTTTACGTCAAACTGGTGTAGCGGCCAATCAAGGTTTGCTGTAAGAGACAATAAAACTCTAACCGTATTCAATTTGGCCACTGGTGAGAAGGTCTCTTGATAATCTACGCCATGTATCTGAGTATAACCTTTCGCGACCAGCCTCGCTTTGTATCTCTCGAACGACCCATCCGCTTTGTATTTAATGGAAAATACCCACTTACACCCTACAGGTTTCTTCCCTTCGGGCAAGGTAACAAGAGTCCATGTTTTGTTCTTCAATAGTGCCTCCATTTCTTCCTGTATGGCCTATGTCCATTTTGGGTTTGTTAGAGCTTCTTGAACACTGGTAGGAATATGATGTGAGGAAAATTCTTGCACAAATGTTTTGAGAGGTTTGGAGAGTCTCTTTGTTGATACATAATTGGCAATTGGATACTTTGACCTCCAGTCCTCAATATCTGGAGAATATCTATTTGACGGTTTGCCACGATTATGCCTGAAAGGTAAAGTGTAACCAGCAGAAGTATTCATATCATTAGAGCTTGAAGGCGTAGTAGGAGAGTTTACCTCAGGGTCATTCGCTTTAGGAATATTCTCAGGAGATGGATCTTCGGGTACTGTGGAGGTTGGGGTCTCTATTTCTTTTGCTGGAAGTGGCGATGGCGATGTAGACGTTTCCGGTGTTGTAGATGTCTCTCTTGAAACTACACTAGTTGTAGAAGGTTCTTCATTGATCACATTTTCTGTTGAATCACTACTGACTCTCCCCGTGAAGAGAACAATTGGTTTCAGAAGGAGAGTAGAATGTTTCAAATTCCAAAAAAGTAACATCCATGGTAACGTAGGTCCATTGGGTGGCTGGATCATAACATCGGTATCCCTTCTAATGTAACGCATACCCCAAAAATAAGCACCGAGTTGCTCGTGGATCAAGTTTTGTGCATTGATTTTTATGCAGATGTACGAATGCCACACAGCCAAAAACTCGAGGTGGAATCATCAACACGGATGGCAGAGAGACATGTGATGAAAGAGCTTGTAATGGTGTCTTAAAATGTAAGACACGTGATGGCATTCGATTAAGGAGGTGCACAGCAGTAGCAACAACATCAACCCAGTGTCGGTTAGGTACATGTGCTCCAAGTAGCAAAGCACGAGTAGTTTCGAGTATGTGCCGATTCTTTCTCTCAGCAATGCCATTTTGCTGTGGAGTCTGTGGACATGAAGTCTCATGAAGTAGTCCATGAATCCGGAAATAATTTTGGAACCGTTGATTTATGTATTCCCCGCCATTATCAGATCTGAGAACTTGAATTTTAGTGGAGAACTGAGCCTTCACCATCATATGGAAAGATTGAAATACAGTCAACACTTCATCTTTATGTTTCATCAGATATAACCATGTCATGCGAGTGCAGTCATCAACAAAGATTACAAACCAGCGAAACCTAGACACCGTAGTTACCGGGGATGGCCCCCATACATCAGAGTGAATTAAAGCAAATGGAACTTTACTTTTATTCATACTTAAATGATAGATAGTTCTATGACTCTTAGCTAAGATGCAAGTTTCACATTGAAATTCACGAGGCTGCATATCTGTAAATAAATCCGAAAATAAATGCTTCATGTAACCAAATGATGGATGTCCCAACCGGCGATGCCAAATCCAAATTTGTTGTTCTTTGGTATTACTTTGATGATGTGCATGATGTGCTCGACCCATACTAAGATCATCCATGTAGTAGAGCCCCCCCTCCTAGTACCACACCCAATTATCTCCTTGGTGAGAATATCCTGAAGAAGACAAAAAGTAGGATAGATGAGCACAACCCAATTTAGATAAGTGGAAATTTGGCTAACAGATAGTAATTTATGGGAGAGAGAGGGAACAAGCAAAGTGTTCTTTAAGGATATTGTAGGTGACAAGGTCACAGTGCCTGCTCCTGTGACTGGAGATATAGCCCCATTGGCATTAACAATTGTAGTCCATCTTGGTGGTGAAGTTTTTGAAAAATCAGTGGCATCATAGGTCATGTGGTCAGTAGCCCCCGAGTCAAGTATCCATGCATTGCTATCAATAGTGTTGTGGGGAAGATTGTTCCATGAATCTGAGAGGTGTACGTCTCCTTGTGGTAGTTCAACAGGCAATGTGAATGACAGTTGGGGTTCTGCTGTAACCATCGTAGCCTTACCGCCAGTTTCAGCCTTATCTTGACGTTTCCGGGCTTGGAGTTCATGCCACCAGTTGGGGTAGCCATGTAGTTTGAAGCAATTCTCCCGGGTATGCTTCGAGTTACCATAATGAGAACACTTAGTTTTATCAAAAGATGTTTGAGATTTAGAGGACATACTAGCTTTTCCGTTGCTCAAAGAAAGAGAGCCTGTTGAGGATGAAGTAGGTTGTCCCGTTTTAACACTTTTGGAGGCCAAAACAGCTCCTGGAGTTTCAATATTGTTACCGGTGATCATGACCTTTTTTCGGATAGCTTCCCTACAAACATGTGCGTATGCTTGTTCAATAGTGGGAAACGGGTGCATTTGGAGTACATTTGCTGGAATCTTGTCAAGTTTGTCATCAAGGCCATTTAAGAAAATATACACTCTCTCTTCTTGAAGAAGATTATTATACCGTTGAATATCTGCAGCACACTCCATTGGATTTGGATGGCAAAAATCGGTTTCACGCCACAAACCTTGGAGATCATTATAATATTTTTCAAGAGATCCTCTAGACTGGCAAGCGGGTCACATGGCGTCGAAGATCATATACTTGCGAGGTATCACTGCCATCAAAGTAGGTAGTAGCAACAGAATCCCACACCATCTTTGCCGTAGGGAATCGAATAAAGTTACCGATCAAGGATACGTCCATGGAGTTAATTAACCAGCCCTTGACAATAGCGTTGTCCGTGCACCACCTTCGAAAGGTTGGGTCAGTCTGAGGAGGCTGGGGAAGCTCGCCATTAATATATCCCAATTTGTCTTTGCCGGATATATACATCTCAACAACTTGGGACCAAAGAGCATAGTTGGTGCCGTTCAACTTGATGCCAATTTGTGCGATAGGAGTCTCTGTAGTCGAGGTTGGTCTGTGCAGGATTTCAGCCATTCTGGTGGTCAATTTGGTGAGGGTAGGATTGGATCGTTGTTCCCCAACCGGATCTGAGGTTTCTGAATCGGACATGGTTGTATCTACCGAAGGGTGTCCTTGCTAATGGCGTCTTGGAGCAGAAGAGCTTAGTGCCACAAGGCGGAGGAAGAGGTGAAAAATCTTGGGAATCAAACACCGAGTTTGCAATCTCGACGAAGGAATCCAAGTTTGCAATCTCGATGAAGGAATCCGAGTTCCTCTTGTTGGTCGAAAAAACCATTTGCACTTCGCAGATCTCCGAGATAAAAAACCAAAGCTCTAAAAAATAGTAATATTCCAATATGGTGACGAATTACCTCAAGAACGTGATCTTGATGATGGTCTCCGTAGATGCTCCACAGAACCGATAAATTTGCCCAGCAGATTGAACGTGTAGAGGTCCTTTGGAGATCGCCTATCCGGCTCAAGAACGTGATCTTG